TCTTTTGTTTCTTTAGTGAGACTTGTGATTTAAGATTCCATTTTTTTCCTATTCAACCCGTTATTATTGCTGTGTAGGTCATAAATTCTGCTCTCATAATTCTCATTTTTCTTTTAGACTACTCTGAAACAGCATGTTGTGCTTCCACATTCTTCTCAAATTGTTTTCAAATTCCACAGGGTCCTCTATCTCTCCAAGTGTTGTATCACTTTCGTTTGTTTTGCAGTATTTGTTCATAGATGCCTGAACTCATTTACTAGTTCTGGAGGCCATATTTCCCTCTGATGCTAATGTTTTCCTTGTTGATTTGTCCACTTCTGTTCAAGGACTTTGAGTTTTCTTCTTCCTGAGATCAGGTTTTTTCCTCCCTCATTTTCTCATATTACTGACTTTCTGATTCTCTTCCCTCTGATAATGGTTTCCTTGAGGGCTTAATCTCAAAGCATCTCAACCTGCTCTCATATTGGGCAAATCCTGGATCACTAAGCTAGTTCTCTGCCTCAAGTAATTCGAGGTGGGGAGCAGGGGGACCCTTTCCCAAACTGGTCCTGCTGAATACTAAGCTCTTTCCTTCAGACACACACACACACACACACACACACACACACACACACACACAGAGTGACTTTTTATGGGGTCCTGTTCCACTCCCCTCTGTTCCTCAGTTCTCTGACCCAGCACCAGCAGTTTAGAAGCTGCCATAATGATGCTACAGGGTTGATTTCTGTAGTTTAGGCTCCAAGAAGGGGACATGGGGATGTGGTGTGATCTTAAGCTCTATTTCAGACATGTTTTCTGCCACTTCTTTTCTGTTTCTAGATCCCCTGCAGAAATCTTTTGCAGTACATACCACTGCCTGATGGGGCACTGGCTACATGACCCTACCAAACTTCAAGTGGGGCATTGCCAGAACATTGGCCTTACCTGTCTCTCACAGCTTGAGCAAACTTCTGCAAACTGGAGCCAGGAGCTCCCTAGCAATGGGGGGGGGGAGGACCAGGATTTGGGGGTCAGTTTTCTGCAGGCCCACATGTTGGATCTTTGGATAAGTTAGTGTAGACTTGTTGTTGGCAGCATAGGAGGTGGGAGATGGGTGCTGAGTGAGTTCATGGCATTAATTCATGGATTTCTTTTTGGTTTAGTTTGGGGTTTTTCTTAAACTTCTTTTGGATTCTGAGTGTCCTATATCATGGAGACAGATGAAGTTGCTTTGTCTTTGATACATAATTTCTGTTTTAGAGATGGTAAGGGAAAATGTCCACCATCTTCATCGATTGGCTCCAGATTTAATCTTTTGTAGTTCAAAACACAATGATTTCTATGAAAGGTCCTCCTTTTCTGAATAAAGCTGACACTACCAAATGGACAGTCAAATCACTGGGGGGGGGGGTTATTCTGACTATAAAAAATAGCTTTTCCTTGCCCTCTTATATTTAACATTAGAGGTTATTTCCCTCCGTGAAAGTCTTTACCTCATCATACCTCATCTAATACCTCATCTGACAAAGCCTGCCAACTAGGAAAAGCTATTGAATTATTACTGAATGTTTGGGGAAAGAGAAGGGGTGACCTGGTCAGACCTGCCCTTTAGGAAAATTAATCTGACAAGTGAGTAGAGGATGGATTGGAGTGGAGAGAGACTTGAAGAGTAGGGGTGACAAATCATCAGACTATTTCAATAGTCCAAGCATGACAGGTAAGGAACTGCCAGAGTGGTGGCAATGTCAGAGGAGAGAAATGAGCATATGTGAAAGATATTATAAAAGGGAAAATCAATAGGCCTTGGCAACAGATTAGATGTGGCAATGGGGGAGGTGATTAATAATGAACTTTGTATTTTATCTCAATCTTCTTACATTTTCCTTAATCTAATTTGGGGGTTTATTCTATTGTTCATAAGATAAGACCCATCTCACTACAATTACTGTAAATCCTACATTTGAATTAAGAATAACTATAAAATATAGAAACTATAGGAAAGTTTTAGTTCCTTGAGACATATCATCTTCAAGGTATTTTTTCCAGAATTTTGTTATATACTTACCACAGGAACACTTTGAAAGCACCAATAATCTGCAACATATTGTTGTTTAAGCACTACAAAGTATAATTAGTTCAAGGAGTTTCCATCATTCAGTTACCCTTGAAAAATCCAGGTCAAGTTGGTAATGACTTTCAATAAATTTCATCTCAACTTTTCAATTGAGTGACCTTTGTGAAGCTAATTGTAAGCTCAGCCCATTTCCTAGGCAACAGCTGTCAACACTGCAAAATTCAGTGTAGCTAGGAGCTTCCCTTCTTGGAAATCCCAACCCAGATGCCAACAGCCAAATGCCAAAGATTAAATGGAAGAATAAAGCTACTGCCCTCAGAGGTGACAAGGACATAATCAGTAAAAGGAAATGCAGTCAGTCTCACTAAGAGATATAAAGGACTTTAAATGTTCTTTGAAAAAAAAATAGACAGTGAGTATAATAAGAGAAATAAATCATTGCTATTAGAGTATCTTTCAATTCCAAATTAATTCATTTTAAGTCATGCTCAGAAATAATTCTGAAAATGTTAATGCTATAAGAAGGGAAGAAAGGGAAGGGATTGCTTATTTCCAAAACATCCACTGAAGCCTTTTGAATTCTTAGAGATGGAGACTAGACCTGTGAGTTCTTCTACATAGGGAACTCCCAGATAAAGAAACTCCTATCAATCCAGGTCAGCATCTTCTGTACAGAATATAGTATTAGAGAGTTGCTAAGAGCATCAGTTCTCAAAATATGGTCCAGGGACCACTGAGGTTCCCCAAGACCTTTCATTGGTTACATGAGGTCAAAACTAAAGACACTTTCACATTCTGATATTCATTTCTAATAGATATAACCTATATAAATAAAGTTCTTTGAGGAGAGTCCTCAATAATTCCTAAGAGTATAAAGGGATTCTGAAACCAAAAAGTTTGAGACCCACTAGCCTAGCTCACTGAAAAGATAAATAACTTGCCCAGGGTCACACAGCCAGTAAGTGTCCCAGGCTGGATTTGAACTCAGGTCCTCCTGACTCCAGAGCTCTAGCCACTATGTTACATAGCTGCCCCAATCTGATACATTTCTTAGGAAAAAAATTAAACTAGACCATGTTTTTTTTCATTCCAATTCACCCTTCAGCAAAGATGTGCTATTTTTTTTTCTCGCTTAATATTAAGCTTTTCTTCTTGGATCAGCTAAGAGAAGAAAAGAAACAATGCAGTACAGTTGAATTGGTTCTGTATTTGGGGCTCAAAGACTCCTAGATTCACATCCTACTTTTACCTCCCACTTGACTTCAATGGAGTAACAGAAGTTCTCTGTGCTTCAGTTTCCTGATCAGCAAAATGAGAGTACAGCACTAAATGACCTCTGAGGTCCCTTCCAGCTCCAAATCTATGATGCTGTGATGTGGACCACTAAAGTTTTCAAAAGGAGCCATTAGTCTGTGGTGTATGTTACTATCAGTCATACTCTTCCCGCCCCCTGCCCCCAAGTACAATGGAGTGGAATACTTTCACTACCATCCAGACTATTATATAGTGCCTGGCACAGAGTAAGCACTGAATAAATGTTTGTTGGATTGAGTTGAACCCCATGCTGGAGAACAGGACTAATACCCACCTGATGGGCTAGCTGCATTATTTTCGTCTTTTCCAATATGTACTGGTGTTTCAGGTGAAATGATCTGACCTGCAGCATATCCAAATCAATGTGCACTAGTGAGCCATGATATAAGGGGGCTCAGTTATATTTACTCTTTCACTAAGGCATTTCTTAAAGAAATCCAGGCTTAGGGATTTGGGAAGTCTACTTTACTGTCATCCAAGGCAATCAGAGAGACGCTTTGTATTGCCCATCTGGGAGCACAGTAGAGAATGTTATTAATTAAATACAATAAATCCTTTGTGTCTGAATCTTGTAGTACAATTAAAAGGGTCCTGGATTTTTAATTAGAGGCACTGGGTTTGAATCCTAGTTTTGCCATTTACTAGCTATATGTCCTTGGGAAAATCAATTAATCTCTCTGGTCCTTGATTTTCTCATCTTTGAAATGAGGGAGTTGAATGTGATCTCAAAGTTGGCTTTCAACTTTAAGTTGAAATGATCCCATGATCCTCCAAAGATTCCTGGAGAGTTTCTGACCTATTTGGTTTTTAAAAAGCTAAGATTTTCAGCCTAGGAGATGAAAAACACCACCATCTCACAGGAAGTAAAAAATGCAAACTTTACCTCAAAAATCACATTTATTTCAAATGGATCTTTTATTATTAGTAAATAATTCCTAAGGGTTTAGGGGGGTTGTTTTTAGTAAAGAAAAAAAAATCAAGCAACTGGTAAGATCACAATTTTTATAAAGCAGTAGAAATTTACATATAAAATAGGTGATGACAGTGGCTGTGATAAGTTTATTAATGTGAAGATATCTTACTGACAGGCACAAGTCCCCCCAAAAAATACAGTAAAAAAGAGTGATGTCTTTTCTTCCATTAGTTCTGTGTAATGTACTATAGATATACAATGTCAATGCCTCCGAATTACTGAGACTTAAGTTGCCAAAACACACATAAAGTTTAATGATACTCCCTCTCTATGGACAGATTAATCACTATTAATTCAATATAATGACATAAATAAGAAAAAGATTGTTTAAAAAGTCCATATGATGATGTGGCTAAATTAGACAGGATCTATTTTTTGTGAAATATTGGACGTGTTTAATTTTTTAATGATTAAATTAAGTGGAAACATGCCAATTGTGCTCCATGGTACCCACTTAGCTCTGCCTTCATATTGACATTTCCTTGATTTTAAGGTTGATCTAAGTTAGTTTGGCAAATTCCATCTTCTATCAAGCCAAATAATGAATCAATGTCAGTGCTTTCTGGCACAACCACACTTAATTGCTTGGATTTGAGTTAGCTGAAAGAAACAAAGCCAGCAAAACTTGCCAGGAAAAAATACAGTAAATTTAACACTTACTGCTTTGAGGTCTTCATTAACATAAGTATCATTCATTATAAACTTGGGGTAGCCAACCTTTGCCAGAACAGCTCTTGCCTTGGAAAAGGAGAGAGAAAAAGAAAGCCAGAATTTGAACATGTAAATCACCTGTAATAAGAACTATGGTGTACTCAAAAGTGTGACTTCCATCTAAAAATTTTATGAAATTTCATAATTCTTTATATAGGAATAGCACCTCGATATTCAAAGGCAGAAAATAATATCAACATTTCCCAGCACTGATGAATATGTAGCAAACACTAGACTTCGGCGCATATAGTAAGTACTTATTAAAACTTGACGATGTGGTCTTTAAGTTTGTGAGTTTCCACAGAACTCAATGAAAATTACGAGATTCTCACAAGCCCACCAAAACCTTATTCATAGTGGAAGAACTCTAAAACATACTGAAATATAGACTCACAAGACATTAGAGTTGAAAGGGACATTAGGGTCCTCAAGCCCAATTCCATCATTTCACAGATGAGCTAACCAAGGCTCAGAAAGAAGTGGTTCATCCAAGATCCCATGAGATCCAAAATGAAGTCTTTTAAAATGTCATGAATATATTGCATAAACAAGATGGCCCATTTAAATCTGGTCTTATTTACAAAATGAGATATTAAATAGCATCTATTTTAAATAATAGCATCATTGAAATCCTTTATTCTACCAATAGCCAATTCATATCAAGGTCAACATAGATGGAATTAAGATACTAGGAAATCTGCCCCTTTGAGGTGATTGGTGGGTGTCAGTTTTTGCTCCAATGAAAATGCAACACAGAATCACTAAGCTTTGGTCACCTTCTATGGTGACATCATTTACCCTTAATTCCTAAAGACTAAAAAAGCAATCAACCCATTGTTGCAATATATAATACAAATACCACACAGCAGCAGGAAATAATAAGGCAAGATTTAAAAGTCAAATGTAACAGGATTTTTTGAGTATCATGGAACCCAGTTGGAACACAAGGTGCTATTACACAGACTCAGATATAACATGGATCAAATTCTGTCCTCAAAATACTGCAGCAACATCTAGGAACATCTTGACATGAGAGCCTTCAGTCTTATTTTCCAACATTGGTTAAGATTTAGCCCTGGAAGAGACCTCAGGAGAAATCTCTTCCAACTTCCTCCTTTTGCAGAAGGCTCCACTATACTGAGAATTTACCATTATATTTTTATTGGGTTTGTAGCTTCTCCCTAGCACCAATCTGCATAACAACAGCAACTGATAAAAGTCCAAGAGTCAAAATAAAAGATGAGACATAAATAAAAAATTCCTGAAGAGCATAATTCTTTCGGAGCATGCTGATGAATCCTAACGGTGAATTTTCATCCCCCTCTCTGGGAGACCTACTCTAAGTACTCTGGCCCATTTCAAGTTGCAAAGACTATATCATGCTCTGCACAGTCCTTGTAAATCACTGAACCCTTTCTGCATTGCTACGGCATATAAGGAAAAAAAAATTTATCAAAAGAATTCATATCATTTTTCCTTAGGCATAAATATTAAGTCTCTCCTCACCCCACCCATCCTCCCAGAAATGCATAATAACTTGAATTCTTCATGATTTGACACAACTTTATTCACTACATTCAATGGATCACCCACGGTCAGTGAAGGTGCTTAGGTTCCAAGCCCAATTCACATTTGTAAGCACCCATGAAAAAGTCATATACTCTTAAGCATTTCCTATAAACATATATAGGTACACCATGAAACTATTAGTTCCCAAGAGATGAAAGAAACAGAAAAATGATCCATATGTACAGAAATCTTTATAGCCACTCTTTTCATCATGGTAAAGAATTGGAGAATAAGGTGGTACCCATCAATTAGGGAATATCTAAAGAAGTATGGTATGTGAAAGTAATAGAATATTATTGTGCTATAATAAATGATGAAAGGGATGGTTTCAGAGAAACCTGGGAAGATGTGGATAATTGATGCAAGGTGAAATGAGCATGACATGAGAACAATTTATATAATAACAACATTTTAAAGACAACTTTCAAAGACTTAACAATTCTGATCAGTGCAATGGCCAACCATGATTCCAGAGGACTGATGATGAAGCATACCACCAAACTCCTAGGAGAGAAGGGATGACCCAGAGTGAAGAACGAGAAATGCATTTTCAGACTTAACCAAATGTGAAAGTTTATTTTATTTAACTACGAATATCTGTTACAAGGGTTTTATTTGTTTGCTTTTTCCTAGCTTTTTTATCCTGTGTGATTCTTGTTCATTCCTGACTATATAAATCCTTTGTAAAAGATATGCCTGACAGACTAACAGCTTTCTGTTGCCTCTTATAAAATCTGTGGGTCCCAATGAAAATGCAAAAAAATATAAATTTACAAAGATGAATCCTAAAATCCTCTACATGTCAACTATCACTTTTATCGTCATATTTGATAACAATAATAACTATAGTTTTCCATGGCTGATAGATGAGGAAACAGGCTTGATGACATAAAGTGATTTGCCCAATAAAACACAAATAATAAGTGGCAGTGCTCATCTGACGCTTTGAACCCAGGTCTTCTGATTTCAAACCCAATATTCTTCCACTGCACCATTCAATAAGTATTTATTAAACACCTACTATGTACAGGCATTATGGAAAATAAGGCTGAAGGCTCTTATGTCAAGATGTACCTAGAGATTGCTGTAGTATTTTGAGAGAGACAGAATTTGATCCATGTTATATCTGAGTCTGTGTAATAGCAACTTGTGTTCTAACTGGGTTCTGTGGTACTCAAAAAATGGAGAAGACAACTTGCAAATGACTATGTACAAAAAAATGCAAGTAAATTACAAAGAAGACAATAAATTAAGCAGGAGTAGGAAAGGCTTCTTGCAGATGGTAGGATTTTTGCTAAGATTTGAAGGATGAGGGCCAGCAGCAGGATAGTCACAGTTTCAGGCAGCAGAAGGAGACATATATGAGATGTTACAAAGGTAGACCTTGGCAACAGATTGGATATGGTGGGTGGGAAGGAGCGTGGAACTGAGGATGACACCTAGCTTATAAGCCCAAGGGACCAGAATGATGGTGGTATCCTTGAAAATAAGAGGAAACTTAGGAGGAAGAGAAAGCTTAGGAGAGAAAGACAATGAGTTCAGTTGGCCACATATTGAGATTAAGAATCTGTGGGACATCCAGTTTGAGATATCCAATAGGCAGTTGGAGAAATGAGACTGGAAGTCAGGAGAGAGGTTAGGATTGGACAAATAGGTCTGAAAATCATCTGCATGAGATGATAACTGAATCTATGGGAGCTAATGAGATCACCAAGCAAAACAGGATGGGAGAGAAGAAAAGAAGAGAGCTCTAGGGGGCACAGACTTAACAGGCTTGATGTGAATGAGGATCCATCGAAGGAGACTGAGAAGGAATGGTCAGACTGTGAGGAAGAGACCAAGAAGTGTACTGAGACAGTGTCAAAGGCTACAGAGAGGTCAAGAAGGATGAGGATTGAGAAAAGACCATTCAATTTGGCAGTTAAGATATCACTGGAAACTTTGGAAAGAGCTATTTCAGTTGAATGATAGGGTCATGAAGCCAAGTTGTAGAGAGTTTAGAAGAAAGTGAGAAAAAAGAAAATAGAGACACCTTTCATCAGCTTTTCTCACCAGTCATGAAAGGGAGGAGAAATATAAGACTAAAGGTAGCAGGGATGGAAGGATCAAGTGAGGGTTTTTTGAGGATGGGGAAGACACGGATATTTATGGACAATACAGAAGAAGCCATTGAACAGGGAGAGACTGAAAAGTATTGAGAGAGTTGGGATGACAAAAGGGGCAATCTGCTGGAGAAGATGGGATGAAGTGGGATGACTTGGGCATATAGAGGGATTTACCTTGGCAAGAAGAGCCACCTCTTCATGTGAGACAGAGGTAAAGGAGGAGATAATATTGAAACCATGCTGCTTTCAGCAGATACTATACTAATCCACAGGTCCATAGACTTGTGGAATATGAGAGTTAGAAAGGACTTTAGAAATAATTTAATACAAACCCCTAATTTTAATTGATAAGGAAACTAAGGCTAAGAGAGGGAAACAACTTGTCTAGTGGCTTGTATCAGACTCACTGAGTGCAGAGAAGGTACATCACAAAACAGTAACCACTGGGTGGTAAAATTTTCGGTCAAAGCAAGTAATGAAATGACCTACTAAAGTACAGAGGTTGTTGTCTGTATTTTTTGAAGAAACATTTAGTGTTGTGGTTTAATCAATTAGCTGTGTCTGACTCTTTGTGATCCCATTTGAGATTTTCTTGGCAAAGATACTTGAAGCAGTTTGCCATTTCCTTCTCCAGCTCATTTTACAGATAAAGAAACTGGGGCAAAAGGGATTAAGTTTCTTGTCCAGAGTCACACATCTACTAACTGTCTCAGGTAAGATTTGAACTCATGTCCTCCTGATTCCAGGGCCACTGGTCTATCCACCGTGCCACCTACCTACTCGGCGGGAACACTAAAACTGATGAAATCATTAAACTCTTGAAATAGAAGTGGGACAGCAGAAAGAGTAATGCATTTGAACCCAGGTGACTCAGGCTCATATCTCACACTTACTAGCTATGAGATCATAGGCAAGTCACTCTGTACCCCAGTTTCCTCATCTGTAAAATGCAAGGGTTGAACTAGATGATTTCCTAGTTCCCCTTCCAGCTCTCAATCTGTGATCCAAAGAACCCTTGTATAGAACCAGAGAACGGAGAAAAATAGTGCAGTAGGCAGACAGTTTAAATGTCCCTTGCTCTAGCTACATGAGCACCTTAACTCTTTTGCTAGGTTTTAAATAACTTTTTCATGGCACTTCTCACCTGTAAGTAGCTGCTGGCAATAAGACACAACCTACTTTCAACCCACCAGGCATCTTTCCATTAACCTTTGTGTCATCTATAATTTTAATTCTCTGAATATGGTCATTTTCTAAAAGTCACAGTTACATAAGATGACCAAATAAAACATGAATTTTTTAAAAAGAAGAGGATGTCAAATAGAGGATGACTGAAAGTGCTATATAATTTTT